CTATGGTGACTGAAAGGTAGCAGTCTCATAGGGCAACAGTACAGAGTAGAAGTATAACCTTGTTAACACAAAAATTAATCCTTCTGCAGAAGTTGTCAGTTACGTTTATCTAAGAAGTTTACCCCAGGCTGACTCTGCGCTTTGGTGAGGCAGCTTCTGCCTAGCACTGTTGGCTGACAATTAACAACCATCTCATTGTTACCACACTAGGGCTAAGTTCTTATTTCTCTAGATCTTTAACTACATTAACAATGGTTTCTATAACACAACCTTAGCACATTAAAAGCAAAAACACAGCAAGCAAATGTTAACCCAATAGCTACTTTTAGAATAATTTTTCTTATGTTTTCTAATAGGACTCTTTCACCCCTCAAAAATGCTCTATGTCTATTAGGGCTTTTATATAATCAGGTTCTTTATGCTATTTTATGATTAGGATATTATAAGCAATTATGCATATTAGTACCAAGGGCATAAATGCATTTGGCTAACAAACTACCAGCAAAGGAGTTTAAATTAAAACACTCCTTTCACCCTGGATAATCTCATAAAATACCACCACCTGGGAAACTTATTAATTAAAGTTCTAAATTGATTCTTATTTGGGAAGAGATGGGGGAAGGCCTTCTGCCTGTGTCACAGAAATTAGGGAGTAGTCTATTGAGGCAGGCATCAGAAAGACAGATATCATCTTTAAGATGAGTGCCAGGGGCAGCTTTTCGAAATCCCTGAAAACCTGATCTGCCTTGCCTGTCAGGCTTTCTCCTCGTGACCTTGTCATGGGTGGGATCTCGTGTGCCGGCTCCCAGCACAGGAGCAATGCAGGTCGCTAGGAGAGTGTAACACTGTGACCCATGTCCCAGTCCCAGGGCAGTCATTCCAGAGGGATGGAGGGAAGGAATGGCCGGCAGCCCAGGGCCGTTCTACCTGCCTCACCTCCTTCTTGTGCAAACAGCCCCAGGCACTGTGCCGGCACTTCTGTACCTTTTATGATTCAAAGTCCACAATCTTCCAAGCTGTTTTACTCTGACCTGACTTTACACACTCAGAAGGTGAAGCTTGGCCAAGCAACAGTGGCAAGGCCTCCCCACCTCGACGCTTGGCTCCTGCTGGGCGGTGTCCCCCTCACAGTGGCCCAGGCCCCACGGTGAGACCAGACCAACTGCCTACCCATGGGATGTCTGCACCCAGCTTGGCCAGGCAGGAGTGTCCTCTATCTGCCTGCCTGCTCCCGAACAGCCTGTCCTGGAACCTGCCAGGCACCCTAGGGCTTCAGTTCTCACCAGCCATGTGATTCCCCCCGCCCCAGGACCCGCACTACTTCGGGAACCAAAGGCACCCCCACTTCAGATGTCCAGTCAGACCATAGCATGATGAGCAGTGGTTTTGCCCAGCGTGGTCTATTCAGGCTCTGTCACTGGATGTGATCAGGCCCCTTCCTCTGACCTTGTGGACGTGCCCAGGCTTCAGATTCTCCCTTATTCCCCTGCCATGGCCATATTCTTCTCTTCTGTTTTCACCCAACTGTCCCATGACCACACACAGCAATTGGGGCCTCAGGCTTTCCCTTTCTGGGGGTTTTATGAGTCTCTCTTTTTCTCCTGCTAGTTGTACCATGTTTCATGGACATGATGAGCCCCCATTTCCCCTTGTTTTATGGACATTATGTTGTTGCTTTTCCCCGCAGCATGTTCCACATTTCCCCCTATTCCATGGTCTTCACCAAGCCCTGATTTCCCCTTCTACCATGGACAGAACCACCCCTGCTTTCCACTTATCACATGGACATGACTAAGCCCTCAACTTCTCCCTCAACTGTGGAAACAGCCCATCTCAGCCCTCTGATTTGTGGATGGAACACTGCTGCCTGACTGATCTTGCCCCAGGGATGTCGTCCAGTCCCTGTTCCTCACTTTCTGTGGACAGGACATTGGTCCACGATCATGCCCTGTTTCATCCTTACTCTTGGAAAGAGCTAGAGTGCTGCTACTTCCTCCTTTCACAGATATGACCAAGGCTCTTGTTTTTCCCTTAGGCATAGACTTAATGAAGCCTCCTACTTCATCCCACTACCTCCTTTTCCTTGGATGTATTCATTCTCCTTTTCCCTTTCCTGGCATTTGACCAGGGCCCCTATACTCCCCTTATTCCATGCATATAATCAGCCCACATTTCTTAAGCAGATCTATTTGGTAGGTTTGTGGGTTTCCTAACACGGCCCGTGGATATCACCTTCCCCTCCCCAGGTCCACAGACTGGTGGTGTATCCAGGTAGCTGTACATCTAGATGACTGGGGAGGGCTGAGCTGGTCCAGGCCCAAGCACTCTCGCACATCACTCAGAATCCTTCTGTATCTGTTTCATGATTGCACTCCTGCCATCCGGGCTCAAGTGTTCTAAAGCTGCTGCCTTCCCAAGCTGGACAAATCATGAAGCCATGGGGTCTGGGAGGACACCCTGCCAGGTATAGTTAGACTTTCACACTGGAGGGTGGCCTAGGTTCCAGGACACCTGGGGTCCAACGGGCCATGGGCGTGTGTGTTTAGAGTCATGGCAGAATGATGGAGGAGGGTGTTCTTGCCTGGCTTGAGAACAGGTTCCTCCCTTCATTGTCTCCACCCTAATCTGAGTCTTTTTCCCCGTTTTCATCTTATAGATGAAGAATCTGAAGCTGAGGAGATGAACTAGCTCCCCTAGAACCCAGCAAAGACCCCAGCAGAACCAATTACAAACCTGGGTCTCCCTCACCATATCAAGCTGCTTCTCAATGACTAAGATCCTATGTATTTATTTTTGAACATTTTAATCTTTATTTTGAAGTCAGTTCAGACTTACAAAAAGGTTACAACAGTAGCATCAAGTTCTCCCATCCCTGCATGCTAACATCCTCTTAATTCTAGGATGACGGTGGAAACCAAATAGTTAACATTTGTATTCACAAAAGAAATGTTCACATATTGAGGTAGGAGTTAGTCATTCTGGCTTATATATGAGTTGTGTTGAATTTTATGCTAATTAAAACAGCCTGTTTGTGGCCCATCAGACATACATTGTATATCTGCTTTAAGTGCTAAAGAAAAGGGCAGACTGTCCAGAATTTTATAATGCCTGAAGATAAGAGATAAATGCCTCCTTTCCTAGGATGCCGATGCTGAGACTCCTTGATGATAAGACTCCTCTCCCAGGGACAAGGCTGACTCTCTATACTTGCTGACCCAGTTTTTTTGAAACCCTGCAGGCATGTATCCCTGACTGGTTTGATGTTCTTTGTTCTGGTATGACATAAAACTGCTGACAGCCGTGCTTCTTCCCAGAAGTTCCTCAGAGTCGTCGGAGGTGTTGTGTCTCTGGCTATACACCTCAGTTTGTCTCAAATAAAGCCCTTTTCTATCCCCATTATAGATGGGTTATTGGTTATCCATGTCAGCAGTTTTATGCTATTAGTCTACAGACTTTACCCACATTTCATAATTGTCCCACTAGCGTTCTTTGTCTGGAGCAAAGTGCCATTCAGGATCCCACTTCGATGAGTGTTTTAGGCACAGGGAGCTCTTATGGGCTTATGGGTGCTGGTGATGGGGTTCAGGACAAGCTATCCCCAAATATGGCACCTTGGCCCAAAGACGGTCTTAAGCCGGAGGAGTCTGAGAAAATGGCAGAAGCAGGAAGGTCACTCTGATCTCCCCACTAGTCTTTCCTTCCTGAAGCAGGAGATAAATGTCCCAAGTGAAACCATCCCCTCTCTGCACGTGAGAATAGAGATTGTCCCGGTAATTGGAGACGAACGCAGAGCCAAGGAGACTGCGTAAACTAACCTGTTACCCTTCACCACGGGGCGCCCTGAACTCAACCCCTTCGTCTTGGCTACTTCACAGTTTTACTGTGTCTACAAGTTACAAAATCTCCCTGCTCTGGTCACTCTCTGGGGCTTCACTTTCTTGCAGAGGCTCCCAGGTACTCGTGAAAGCCCAGAAAGTTGGTAGCCTTTCTCCTGTTAATCTGGCTTCTGTCAGTTTAATTCTTAGGCCCAGACAGAAACCCAAAGAGTGGAGAGGAAATTTCCCCTCCTGCACAGGTAACACCTAACCTCCGGGGGACGGCAGGATTTAATTTCTGAACAAGGCTCACAGCTCAATGCTCCCTCACAGAAAGGCCAGGGTTACCTCACAAAGCTCTGCTGGGGTCACACCGAGATGGTAAGGGCTAGCGCTGGGGCCTGCAGGCACAGTTGGATCCAGCAGCAGAACTCTGCGGTCAGTGGATGGCAGAGAACCAGTGCCAAAAGGGAAGCACAGGAAATAGTGGATCACTGGCCTAGACAGCTGGAACCCACGATAGGTAAGTGGAATGTATCAGGCCCTCATCCCTTGCATCCCAGTTCAAGCATCACCTTCTCTGTAACCTTCCCCCAGTCCCACAGACAGCCTCTTTTCCATCTGATGAAAGAAAGTGAAAGGAGTTGGTCACGTCTGAGTCTTTGTGACCCCATGGACTATAGCCTGCCAGGCTCCTCTGTCCATGGAATTCTCTAGGCAAGAATACTGGAGTGAGTAGCTATTCCCTTCTCCAGGGGCTCTTCCCGAGCCAGGGATCCAACCCACATCTCCTGCATTGCAGGCGCATTCTTTACTGTCTGAACCACCAGGGGAGCCCCTTCTCTGTCTGATACATCACCTTTTCTTGCCTGCGGGGTCTGTCCTGGGGGCTTTCCTCCTCGTAGGGTATGACAGGGGAGAGAGGCATTTAGAAATCATACTTGCCTCAGTTACTGAGGAACCCAGGGGGTGAGAAAAGTGAATGACCCTCTGCAGGTCCCTCGCAGGTCCTCCAGTCAAGTCACAGGCAAGCCCCAGAAAGAGGGGGGTCAAGGTCTCAGTTCTCTGTTTCACGCAGACAGCAGAACTGGAACCTGCATTGACGAGGGTAGTGGGGAGAGCAAGTGAGCGGACGTGGCTGGCACCTTCCTACCTGGAAAGCCCCGTGGAGAGGAGACCACAGAGATGGGAGCTGGACGCTGGGGGAACCCTCTGCTGCTGCTGGCAGCCCTGGCACTGGTGCTGGGTCGGCATCAACAGTGGCCTGGCTTCCAGGATTCCGAGAGCCCGAAGAACGTGAATGCCACGCTCGCCTTCTTATTGGAGAGCTACAACAACAACAGCAACGACTCCTACCTGTTCAGCGTGGACAGGCTGCTCCGCAGCCAGGTGCAGGTGAGACAGGGGCACAGGTGTGGCTCCCAGAGAAGGCTGGGGTGGGGGCGGCCTCCTGGGAGCCGGCCCCGCAGGGCCCTTCAGCCCCCGACCCCCCTGAATATCCCCTGAGCTTCTCAGCTGCTCTTCTCCCGGAAGAATTGCTTTCATTCAGAAATTTGCCAGAGGGACAGCAGCCGAGGATAGTTTCATTGCCTTTATTATTCCTCTCTTTTGGCAAAATATAAGCATTCACAACCAGGGCTTGAAAATCTGGATCTGGAGATCGTAGCTGTGTCCTTGAGAAGCCCAGAATGATACAGAAGTCCTCTAGTCGGGTCCTTTCAGAACCTGGAGTTACCCATCCTCTCTCCTTTTGTTTAACATATAAAGTTTCTCTGAAATACATCAGTTCAAGGATAATAGAGGAAAACAAAGCTGTTTAAGAAACACTTCTGTTGGTCCAACCTGCCCTCAAGGTTAGACGGTAAACTCTATGAGTTAGGGCGGCGACAATAATAAACCGTGGTTCGATTTGCTGGATTTGGGAAAATGACTGACTTGGAGATCAAGGCTCTGGTTAGAGAGGGGGGTGGCAGGAATGGAGACCAGGGTGGGGCGGGCCCTCAGGCAGCGCTGCTGTGACCCGAAGGGCCTCACCGGGCGTGGACAGCAGCCGGTCCACCTGAGTCACTTCTGCTGCGTGAAGGCAGCACACAGGCCCGAGGACATTGAGGTGACATGGCCACGAGGTGGCAGCCACTCACCAAATTCTGCCCAAATTGGCCTTTTCTTCCCCCTCTTGGTCTCTGGGATAAAGCTGGAACTCCAGGAGGCCAGTAACAGAGTTGCTGAAAGTGAAGAGAAAGTGAAAGTCGCTCAGTCGTGTCCGACTCTTTGGGACCCCATGGACTCTCGGTCCTCTATCATTAACAGTTAACTGAAGTAATTGTTTACAAGCAAACTTCTGATATCATTCAGCCAGATTAGTGGACAGAGAGCGTGTGCCCTTGAGGGGCTGGGTGACCTGGGGCCAGGCCCCTGGGCAGTCCGGGACCTGCCGCGCATTGACTGTTTCCATCCATACCTCACAAAGGGCAGGGAGGGGATACAGTGCCCGTCTTTGCTGGGCTCCCGGTGCCCCTTCTGGTTTTGACACCCAGCTCCTCCTAATTGTGGGGTCTTGGTCAAACGCCATCCAGACTCTCCAGGCCTCAGCTTCCTGACCTTCGAAGTGGGATAAATCAGAGTGAAGTAGCACCTGTGAAAATATTTGTATCATCACGATCATTCCTATTATGATTTAACAAATAAGTCTAACAATAAATAAGAAAATGCCGATCACACTGAAGCTCCCCCGGTGGCTCAGATGGTAAAGAATCTGCTTGCACGTACAAAAAGAGAGTCTGCCTGCAATGCAGGAGACCTGGCTTCAGTCCTTGGGTCGAGAAGATCCCCTGGAGAAGGAAATGGCAACCCACTCCAGTATTCTTGCCTGGAGAATCCTGTGGCCAGAGGAGCCTGGGCGATTACAGTCCATGGCGTCGCAAAGAGTTGGACATGACTGAGCGACTGAGCATGCGGGCATGAGCACACTAAAAGATTAGTTAACTTTGCAGCCAGCGTTCTAGTTTCTTCACACGTGCAGGGTGTGCTGAGGGTCAGTGAGAAAACTCTTGGTACCAGTCCTGCTAGCTGGTTGGAGCGATCCTTAGATGAAGGGCCAGGAGCCCTGAATCCTGATGTCGGACCAGGCCCACGTCCTGACATCCTTCCAGGGGACGCCGGGATCAGGGTGGTGGTCATACCCCAGTACCTTTCCCCTGCTTCTCTGCCCTGAGGTTTTCTGGGGGCTGTCCTCCCAGGAGCCACCCCACAGAGTGCCCAGCCTTCTCACTGCTTTGACCACTAACTTTGAGACAAGGCAGCAGGGAGGGAAGATGAGGACAGAGACAGAGCCCAGGAACTAGACTAGCCCATACGGCTCCGTCCACGTGTTCTGAGGACCACGGTGCAGACTTGAGTGCATGATGGGACTGCAGCCAAGTTGCCTCCCTGGTCCCAAGGATGAGAGGGAGACAGGTAAGAAGCCACCTGAGGCTGCAGCAGTAGAGTGGATACAGAGCAAGGACTGGGCATCACACATCCCAGGTGGTGATCAGGGGGTACTGGGCATCCTCCGGCAGGTAGGGAGGAGGCTGAGCCCCAGGAACAAACCAGGGTGGAGGCTCCTGAAGCTCCTCTCCTGTCCCAGCTCTTCTCGGAGAGCATCAGCCACGCTGGGAGTCAAAGCTAACAGCCTTTGCTTCTTGGTAGCTGACGACAGGCGTGGAGTACCTGATTACCGTGAAGCTTAGCCGGACCAAGTGCAAGAGGAATAGCACGAAAAAGCGCTCGTGCCCCATTCAGACCAAGAAGAGTCTGAAGAAGGTGTGTGCTGACAACCAGCTGCCGAGGGGCTCCAGTCTAGGGGACAGTAAACATTGCACAAGGAGACGTGGATAGGCGTCAGGGGCCCTGTGGCTGGGGCGGAGTCAGGACACGGCCACGGGGCTGCCTGATGCCACGGGCAGCACCCGGGGCGGGGAGGGGAAAAGGGAAGCGCTGTAACTGGGCATCTCTGCGCCCCGGCTGGCACCGCCCCGGCCCCAGATCTCTGGGCTGCCGGACCCCTTGCCCATCTGGTCCACACCTGGACCTCAGGTGGAAGTGGCTTTACTTTCCTTGGGGACCTTCTTCTGTCTTGGACTGCATCCCCAGGACCCTCTGGATTGTCCAGTCACCTCCTTGTCTCCCAACCTCTGCCCTCCTCCTGGTCCCTCTTGCAAGTTGGCAGGCCTGAGGGTCTCTCTCTCTGTGCCCGGGAGGGAAGTGCAGGAGGACCGGGTGGGGGAGCCCAGGATGACATTCCTATGCTGACTCGGACACCCTCTTTGCCCCCAGCATGTGCCAGTGAGCAAAACCCACCTCGCCCATGTGGTCAGGCCTCCGCCTCAGCGCAGGGTCCAGACTCCCCAAGCAGGGGCAGGGGGCAGGGGCAGAAACTTCTTGTCGTCTTCAAGAACCATTTCCCTGAAAGCTGACTGTTTTCTTTCTTCTCCCACAGAGTTTCATTTGCGACTTTTTGGTGTACACTCTACCCTGGATGAACCATTACCAGCTCTGGAATAACTCATGCCTGGATGTGTAGATGCAGGTGTGTAAAGATCCTTGATGGAACCTGGGGCCACTGTGCTTTGTACTTTGTGCTGTAGAATCTGCCAGGCCCTCATATCCCTCATCGAGATCTTGTCTGCACTCACACACATGTGCACACTCACGGCCCTAACCCAAAACTCTCCCATGTGCACTCACACTCATGCACAGAGTCAATGGTCTTTAGGCAGCTGATGCCATTTGAGCAGAAGGCGGTTAATTCTTTGGGGGAACCTCATAACTTAGTTCCTACCCTCAGTCACATCTCTGAGGCTTTTCTTAGTTCAGGTACCTCCTGAACTGGCCTGAGCTTGGAGGGCCCAGTTTCTGCCCCATGTATGGATAACTCTATGACTGACACCGGTCTCTGTGAGTACATCAGGGGTCCCAGTGCCCACCTCCAGGCTCAGGAATTCACTGGGAGGACTCTTAGGGTGCTCAGGGATGTAATTATTACAGTGATGGATACAGGACAAAATCAGCACAGGGAAGAGGCTCTGGGGGAGATGTCACAGACATCAGGCACAGGATTCCAGCATCCCCTCTCAGGGCCACCTTTTGGGACACCCCTCATTCCTTTAGGAATTCGATGGAATGTGTGCCGGGGAATCTCCCCGGGGACTTAGTGCTGTTCACATGGGCAGCCTCTGCCCAGCATGTACCGAAATTGCAGAATTGCAGAAAGAAAACAAGTGCTCAGCATAAACCCCATTGTTTGTATAAACATTGTAGACATAGTGAGGCCCTCTTCTCACTGAGGGAAAGTTTTATATCAGCATCGGAATGGTTTATCATCCAAGTTCCCAGGCTCCAGCCAAGGCCAGCTTTGCCAGCAGGCCTTTCCAAGAACCCCATCTTGGGCTGGCCTTGGGAGCTTTTCTTGACAGAAGGTTCTGGAGTCTTTCTCGGGCTCACGGCTGGGGGAGTGAGACCCATGGTGTCTTCCCTCATGTGACTCACAGTCGAGCAGAAAAGGTGTGCCCTCAACCACCAGTGGATAGGCTGTGGGCTGAGCGCTGCCCCCCAACCAACTGGCCTCCGCCCTGGGGACCGGTCTCACCAGCACAGTCATAATGGCAACTGGATAGAGTGTTCTCAAAGGGGAAGAGTAAACACACGAGCAAGAACCTTACATTTGCCGGAAGGTCCTGAGGCAGAAGAGAGAATGGAGGTAAAAGGTTAAAGGTGGTGAAATTGCTGTGCAAAAAAGGAGGGATGTCCAGTTTTGCAAATCTGATGTCCCAGGGGGCTGCCTGGGGACCTGGCACTGCCTGCTACCCTTGCTCCTTCATTGATCAGAGTGAGAGTCCTTTGAAATGGCATCTTATCACCCTGCCACAGGCCAAGAGCCTCCAGGAAACCTCTGTGTCCAGATCCTAACATCCCAGCCGAGTTCGGCCTAGTGGCTGACTTCTAGAAATGGAATGTAAATGGAGATAAACTGTCTACACGTCTCTCAAACTGGTAGAATATTGATACGAGTAGACCAAATTATATATATGTAAAGTAATATCTAGAGTGACCACTAAAAAGTGTATGTAGAGACACATAGCAAAAACAGTATAAAAATATATGAAAAAAACCAAAAACAGTATAGATACATGCAAGTGGAATACTTTTAAAAAATGTTCAAGAAACTCACAGGAAAAATAAAGAAAACAGAAATAAAAAGCAGAGAGAACAGAGAACAAATAGCAAAATAGACATAATCACTGACATATTAATAATTATATGCATGGTACATACAAGTCACATGTAAATTGTCTCAATGAGCCAATCAAAAGGCAGAGATTGATAGAGTGGATTTAGAAAATGACCCAACTGTGGGCTGTCTACAAGAAACTTTCCTTAAACATAATGATATAGGTAGGTTGAAAATAAAAGGCTGAAAAAAGTTTTATTATGCAAGCATTCATTGAAAGCAGGAGAGCCTACATTAGTATCAGATGAAGTTGACCTCAGAGCAAAGATTGTCACCAGAGATGATATTGCTGTTTAGTCTCTAAGTTGTGTCTGACTCTTTTACACCCCTGTGGTCTATAGCCCACCAGGTTCCCCTGCCCATGGGATTTCTCTGGAGCGGGTTGCCATTTCCTCCTCCAGGGGATCGTCTCGACCCAGGGATCGAACCCGCATCTCCTGTGTCTTCTGCGTTGGCAGGGGAAATCTTTACCACTGGGCCACCAGAGAAGCCCATCACCAGAGACAGAGAGGAACATTACAATACATCCACTCTGGAAAAGCTTGGCAGTTTCTTTTTTTTTTTTAATCCTAAAATATGCTTCACCACATAACTCAGCAATTGCACTCCTGGGCATTTAACTTAGAGAAATGAAAATTTAGTTCCACACATAAATCTTTCATCAATGGTCCCTAACCTCCAGGATCTAATGCCTGATGATCTGAGGTGGAGCTGATGTAATAAAATAATAATAAAGTGCACCATAAATGTAATGCCCTTGAATCATCCTGAAACATCCCCCACTCCTCCTCAGCCCATGGAAAAATTGTTTTCCACGAAACTGGTCCCTGAAGTCAAAAAGGTTGGGGACCACTGCCTTACATGATTCCCCATAAAAGCTTCTTTTGTAATAGCCCAAAACTTGAACAGCTAACACAGCTGCAACCAGTAAATAGTTAACTCTGGTACTGGGTACACCATGGAATGCCGCTCAGGAGTTTAAAGGCACTCACTGCTAAGGATCCCAAGGACATTGTTACCAGTTCCCAAAGAGCCCTGTATGATTCCATTTACACAATATGTTTTAATTGGTGCAGTGATAGAGATGGAGAAGAAGTTAGTGATTTCTGGAAATATGAGAGGGTGAAGAAAGGGTGAGACTGCCGTGGAGTTCGGGCAGGTTTTTGTGGAGGTGGCCACACAAATCTACATATATGATGAAAGGACACACACACACTGTATGGTGTCAATTTCCTGCCTGTGATATTTTTCTATAATTACAAAAGATGTAACCATGGTGGGGGACAGGGAGCTAAATGAAGGGTAAAGGGACCATTCTGTATTCTCTGTAACTTCCTCTGAATCTACAGTGATTTCAAAATAAGAAATTTCAAAAACCCACTGGGCTGGGAAGTCCAAGGTCAATGAGCACACGTCTTGCCTTTCCTTTATTCTTCAACCCACCCCCACCCCAGCCCCCAGCTCCAGACAAAGTAGTCAGAAGAGATTTGACAGCCGATTAATGTTAGATTACACTGCTACTGCCGGTGTTCTTACAAATCGATAATGTTTGAATATTGTCTTTGTGTTAGGCATTGTGTTGAGAAACTTAGATACATTTATCATCATTAATCTTTACAATGATTCTGAGAAATAGGCACTGCCATTCTTGTTTAAGGATAAGGAGACTGTAGGTTAGCATTTTCCCAGACGGTTGGTAGAGGGGACTTTCACCTTGGGCACCACCTGAAATGGAGCCCTGAGGACTCCAGAACTTGCAATGGGAGAATGGAAGTTGAAAAAAAAAGAATTGTTCTTTCAAAGCTACAGCCTTCTCCAGCTGTTGGGGACATGGCGCTGCTGTCAGCTCACAGATCACCCATGCCATGTCCCCTCAGTATCTGCCCATGTCTTCTCACTTCTCATCCTTCTGTGCACACCAGTTCCAAATGCCAACACCTGTTCCCATCACCTCTGGCTGCTTGCTCTGCCCTTGAGCCACCAAGAGCCAGAGGTTCCAGGGAATTAATGCCTGGCAGCCTGAATCCGGAGATAAATGCCCCAGCTGCCTCTCTCTCTGCCAGCCAATGTCTGCTGTGTGGGCCTGTGAGTCTCCCACAGAGTCCCTAGAATTCCCTGGAGACATTAAACCCCAAGGCTTTTGCTCAAACTCTTGGGGAGGCTCATCCTTCCCCTACCTTGTGTGAACCATGGCGGATGTGACTCAGTGAACCGCAGGTGCCATCTTGAGACCACACGGGGGAAGTCAAGTGGGGAGCTGAGCCTGGTGACATTACTTGACATCCTGAATCAAGCTGGTAGGTGGGGGTGCTTATTTCTCACTGCTAATGTGGCATCCGTGAAAGGGCACCCCTTTTAATGCAGCATTCCTGGTTTCTCTCCGCCCTCAAACACTGCCTTCCCGGAGGAATTCATCTGATGGGTTTGTTGGGAAGAATAAATGGGGCATGACAGCCCACATCCTCCTCCTCCCACAGGAAGGAAAACAAGAAACCAAACATCATTGTGGTTAGTTTGCCAATTGTGGGAGAGAAATCCTTCCAAGAAGAGACCTTCTCTGGTCCAGTGCTGCTGATGCTGGGGTATGAGTCTAATTCTGAAGTCTGGTATCAGAAAGTGCTCATGCCTGCAAAAATAAGGCACGTTCCCTCCTCTTTTCAATTACTTGCATTGTTTGTCCTTGTTTCTTCTTGTTTCACGCTTTGGACAAGAAAGACTGGGCATCTCGGAGATGTCATCACAGGCATTCTTGCTAGTATCTTTTAGCTGTTCAGTTAAGTAATTAGAGCATCTTCCTTTGTTCTCCTCCCTTTTCTCAACTTATTTTAAAGTCTAAACAATCCTACTTGATATAAAGGTAAGGTTGAAGTTCTGCTATCATGAAGGTGTATAGGCTATAAGGACAAGAATTATACATGTCATCTCACTTAGACCCCAACCTTCCCTAGCCCAGAAGAACTCCAGATCATTTTATTGTAAGTTAAAGAACCTGGGGGGAAAAGAGTGGAATCATAAGCATCAGAGCATGAAGAACACAGGTTGACCAACATTTATTTTCTCCACTGAAAGTTCCTGTTGGGTGCAGGGCTCCTTGATGCACAGTATCTGTGGGCTGCACTCCGAGACACCTAGACATCTGTGCAGTTTTGGGCCAGAACTTTATACTTTTCAAACCAGGGAATAACAAATACTGAGAAGTAGCAACTGATTTTCTAAAATAAACACAAAACAAAATGTAGAAAAGATCAACACACAAGGTAAACATTTTAAAGGGGAAAGAAGAAGGTGTTAGA